TAGCACTGGCTATTATAATACTTGTGTAGAACCTTGTATAGAGTAAACCAAGGAGGCAGTAGGAAAACTTATAAGATGTTTCCTAATAATCATGATTACAAAAGAACTTGACACGGATTCTTAACTGAAGGTCTGTCCGATTAGTAAAATTTCGAATGCACTTAAATGAATACATAAGTGACCCCCCCCCCCCCCTCCTTAAGTCTCCGCCAAGACTGATAGACTCCTAAAGCCAATTCTGTAACCAAGAGCATTCCTATGTTTATATTTTATTTATTATTGAGTTACTGTTTAACCTTTAGTTCTTCTCTGATTAGAGCTAGGATTTGTATAGTAATAATATACAAATCCTTGATAAGAGTAATCCTCGTTTGTCAATTTTCCATAATTCCGCGGCACCACCCCCTCAGCAAACAGTCTTGTATTTAATTCTGAATAGAACAAAATGTAAAATAAGTGAATAAGTTATAGATTAAATAATAAATAAATAATTAAATATTCTTTATTTAGTTTTTTCTTTATTCTCACTTCTTCCAGAGACATGTACATGTATGTCTCTGATTCTTCATAGTCTTATATCAGAGACATATATACACAGAGATTGGCAACTCCGTGAAATCCCGTTAAAAAACGCGGCCCGGAATGAGATTCTCGTCGATAATTATTCTACAACATGTAGACAAGTCAGGGATGAATAACCTCGATAGCTAATCAAGAAAAGTAATAGGAAAACTTATTTCAGATCAAATAAATTCTTTTTCTAAAAAACTACTTGAAATAATATATTATATAATAATATTTTTTTAATGTATTTGATTGAGAAAATATTTTTTTCTTTTTTTCGGCATTTCTTTTTATTTAAAAAGTAAAATCTGGTAATGATCATGATGATCATGATATTACAAGAAACATTTCTTTGCTAAAGTTTGCTTCTAAATTACACAGTGAAATTATGTGTGTCCGATTTTCCGGTCATTATTTCCTTAGAGTTGTGACTGTGGATTCACAGGTGTGCGATTACGCAAATTTATTGCCCTCCGATCACCTGAATTTTGCCGGAGGTGAAGTTCTAAGTGGATTGTTACTTGGTAATTGTTTTTACAACTAAACAAATTCTGACATTATTTTAACCATGACCAGAACTTTATTTTAACAGAAACACTGGGCTATACTATGAATAGGGTAAACGGACAGAAAGTCACAGGACATAAAGTCACAAATTTGATAGGACAAAAAGTCACAAATAATGTATTGACAATTGTTTGATTATATAAGAGAAAGATCTTCAAATAATATATTTTTTTACATTTATTCATTTTTAAGTTCAGGAAATTGTTCATAAGCCTTGATAAATGAAAAATTATTAAATTTTAATCATGCAAATAATATATTTCTTGGCACCATGAAGCCATTTAAGTGCCAAACCACTTTGACATTTTGTTATCATAACAATTATTTGATCATCATTGATATTTATTGAATAAATTTTTAATTACAAAGTTGCTTCATATATTATAGTTCAATAAAAAATCAAAAAATTATTTTTAAAATTAGTGTTTTCTTGTTCAGAGAAAAATAATCTCAAAACTGAATTGTGACTTTTCGTCTGTGACTTTTTGTCCGTGACTTTTTGTCCTGTGACTTACTGTCCTACATTCTACTATAGTATTCAATCAGGAACAAAAATAGTCATTTAACATGTCAAAAAAAAAAAGAAATCAGAAAGCAACTTTTGTATATAAAAAAAATATGTAGCCAGTAGAATTTTGTCTCGTGGAAAACGGATTTAAATGATTACTTTTTGATTGACCTACAATTACATTATTTGTGGAACCTTTGCATGAATTTCCTAAATGAACGTACATTATGTACAGTGTTGTCGAAATCACTATTTTTGCTGTCATGAAATATTGAATATGAATCTGTCATTATTTGTAGTTTTTTATAGACTTAATATCACAGACCCTGATTAAAAACAACGTGTATCATAAGTGCAGTAAAATGCTCTGCTGAACTGTAGAATTTTAATGTTCTGTTTCATAGACCACAGAAGTACTGCAACATTCTTATCTTTACTCTTTCCTATCGGGTAGTGAAACTCGAGTTTGAAATTAGAAAGATTTAAAATTGAAGACAAGTTTTATCTGATCTTTTGTGGGTTTATGTTTCGGTGCAGTGCTATGTGGGCTGTTATTTTCTTTTCATTTGTCATTTTTTTATCTGTGTTACACGACCTTGTACTTTTTGTATTGCCCCTTGACATCTCCTGCTTCTGTTTAAACCTTTACCACTAATATCTCATCTGGTTTAAATAAAATAGTGTCTCATTCCCGGAATTTGTTATACAGGAATTCATTGCAATATCAGTTTTTTTATAAGCATATAAACTGCTTGGTCTCTTCACACAATTTATGTTTAGGACGAAATGCATCAATAGGTACATACATGTACCAGGTCACCAATATATAAGTACACGTTATGTGCTTTTGACCTCCACAAGAATTCTTAAACATTCATAGATGTGCAAAGAATATTTTTGTCGTTGGGTTGTTGTCTCATTGACATATACCTCACATTTCTGAATAGTCATAGCAGCTGTGCCTTTTCAATTTATTGCAGAAAATATTTGCATTAACATTTTTCAAAATAGGTGAGGTGAAACAGTGATCACAGAATGAGGACATGTAAAACTGAAACAACACAACACAACAGATAAATATAAACAAGCACCATTGCTAAAGGACTGAAACAAACATAGATGATGACTAATATGAGCGACTAGTAGTGTACAAGTAGAGTAAACATTTCTTGCTTCTTATTCTACACATTTTGTCATTTCATGTAAACAATTAAATATGTTATTTTCCGAGGAGAGGAAGGAATTTGTGAAACGAAATATTTTGCCTTTAGTACTGTCAAGTTATATATTCACAGGAGTGTTGTTGAATAAATGAACATTTTCCCTTTTTTACATTATGCTACCTTTATGCTACAAAGGTAGCATTTCCATTCTCATGATATACAAAGATATTATAGAGTGGTCTTCCAATGATAGTCATACATGTAAATCATTGTCTCATTGGCAATCATACTACATCATCATATTGTTATACATGTATGTAAAAATTATGTACATGTATACTTTGTAAACGTAAAGAAGACAAATGAAGTTGAACACAAGATATTTATTTGCATTTTTATCCGTATAGTCTCTGCACAACTGCCACTTCTGTTTCAAATTCAATAGATTGAATGCAGAGTCTTGTATTTATTCTTAGTTCAATGATGTCACCATCACTTGCACAAAAATCGCATACACATGTACATCAAGTTTGGCATATGAACTATGATATTTGAACTACAATAATGTGGTGTTTTCACAGTCAGGATAAGCACAGGTCATTTTCTCTCTTACAAAACCATTTTTTAGTATCACATTGATAGTAGTACATGTAATCAGTCCACTACACGACTGTGCAGTAACATTTGAAAAAAGTCATCACTAATAGTTGTTCTTGTCTGCCAGGGAATCTTTTTTTTTCAATCAGAAAGGCTAGGGAGTCCTACATTCAGCACATGTATGATATTACATCTCTTGTATGCTGCACTGTTAGGTAAATTTGATCAACATCTTTGTTCTTTTATAACATGCAGGATCCTGTTAAAAAAAAAATGCTGTCAGATACTGAATGTAAATATACATGTATATAAACTTGTAAATGTCATCAAAGTGGTGGAAATAATGAAAAAAACAATTTATATACACAAAACCGGTATGACTTGGGAAAGTAATTCCTGTGATCAATGGTGATGGGTACATTTTTTCTTTAAAGATGGACAATTTTATAAACTGTAGCCATGGACAGGTGCCTGTCTTTATATTGAAGAGAATGAAAATGGCTGACAGCTTGAATGGTCATTTTTAATTGTAAATTGCATCAAAGCTGGTGAAAATATGGAAAAAACAACTGTTATATACAAATCCAGTATGTCATAAGAAAGTAATTCATGTGCTGGGAATAATTATTCTCTAAAGATGGAAAAGTTTATTGACTGTAGACATGGACCTGTCTTTATATTAAAGAGAATGAAAATGGCCGACAGCTTGAATGGTCATTTTTAATTGTAAATTGCATCAAAGTTGGTGAAAATATGGAAAAAACAACTGTTATATACAAATCCAGTATGTCATAAGAAAGTAATTCATGTGCTGGGAATAATTATTCTCTAAAGATGGAAAAGTTTATTGACTGTAGACATGGACAGGGGCCTGTCTTTATATTGAAGAGAATGAAAATGGCCGACAGCTTGAATGGTCATTTTTAATTGTAAATTGCATCAAAGTGGGTGAAAATATGTAAAAAACAACTGTTATACACAAATCCAGTATGTCATAAGAAAGTAATTCATGTGCTGGGAATAATTATTCTCTAAAGATGGAAAAGTTTATTGACTGTAGACATGGACAGGGGCCTGTCTTTATATTTTAAAAATTGAACGTGGCCGACAGCGAGAATACTGAATTTTAATTGTAAATTGCATCAAAGTGGGTGATTTAATGAAAAATTCAACATATTTACAAAAAACCAGTATGTCTTGGGAAAAGTGATTCATCTCATAAATGGTTTTATTCCTTTTCGAATGAAAAGGTTTTAATAAAAAATACGTCCGTGTAAAAAATTTTCATAACGTCCAGTCGGCCAAGCTTTCCCCTTATTATTGACCACAATAAAACGTTAATCGTCACAATATTTTAACTAACAATTACTACAAACTGAATAAAACAAGGTAAATAATTTACGAAATTGAAATATATACTTACATTATGCTGTTTTGAAAAGCTTGATGTAAAATAAAAATCGAAGCGGTGGTGAACTTGTCATGATCAGTTGCAAAATGGCGATCTCGTTAAAGTCTCGTGTGACGCGTGTTTTTAATTGGATTTCGCTGACCACTGTTACAGTTGCCAATCTCTGTGTATATATGTCTCTGCTTATATTAAGGATTTGTAGAGTATACAAATCCTTGATTATAACAAAGGCATATAATACTCAGTGTACCACTTCTGAACTTTTTTGTAATTATTTTCTATACTTAAATCCCCATTCTTGATTCCAGACCGGGTAAAGAACTAACTCTCATATATACGTAAATGATCGTAAATGTACGAAAGCTTGACACGTCGAATACGAAAACCCGGAAATATTTTCTCCGTTGCCGTTTTTTATACTATGACGCAAAATCCATGGACGCTCGTCTGCTGCTGAATTCATGTTTTACAGTTTAACAAGGATTTGTATAGTGTCACTGTACAAATCCTTGAGTATAAAGAATGGAAAGATATATTATAGTCAGATAGATAATACAAAGAACTCTGGTTTTTCAAAACCGATTGGTCAAAAAGTTATTAGTATGAACAGATAAATTGAAATGGGTTGCTTGTCGATTAACTGATTAACTGGAAGAAACCGGGGAACGAAAGAAAGTTGTGTTTCTCTTAACGGATTACGTACCCAATATTTTGTACTTGGAAAGCGCAACGAAAGGTAAATATTATCATGTACATATTTAAGAAGATGCTAGTGCTATACTTTTCACGAAAACAAATTTGAATTTATAAATGTCATCGCATGCAAACCCGAAAATCAGTCAAAGATTGTCAAGAACGGACGCAAGTCAACTCGACCCACTGGCAAAACGCCCTACTTTTTTAACAACACGCCTCCCTTTATAAAAATATCCCACTCTTGTTAAGGGAGCTACCATGTGAGTTTTATTGGGGGTACTGGTAGGGGTGTATTATTTGAAAAATATGCGGAACTGGAGTTCTGTCAAGGGTGCAGGTCGTTTCGTAACCTGGTCGTTTCGTAACTAGTCGATTCCTAACTTAACTAGGTCGTTTCGTACCTGAGACGTTTTGTAACCTTATATCAATATATAATAACAATAAGAGTAGTAGGTTACGCAAAAAGTAATAAAAAGACTTAGTGATGTATGTAAAATTGAGAATGGAAATGGGGAATGCGTCAAAGAGACAACAACCTGACCATAGAACAGACAACAGCAGAAGGTCACCAACAGGTCTTCAATCACGCGGCAGCGAGAATTTTCCGCACCCGGAGGCGTCCTTCAGCTGGCACCTAAACAAATATATATACTAGTTCAGTGATAATGAACGCCATACTAAACTCCAAATTGTACACAAGAAACTAAAATTAAAAATAATGCAAGACTAAAAAAAGAGGCTCCTGACTTGGGACAGGCGCAAAAATGCGGCGGGGTTAAACATGTTTATGAGATCTCAACCCTCCCCCTATACCTCTAGCCAATGTAAAAAAGTAAACGCATAACAATACGCACTTTAAAATTCAGTTCAAGAGAAGTCTGAGTCTGATGTCAGAAGATGTAACCAAAGAAAATAAACAAAATGACAATAAGACATAAATAACAACAGACTACTAGCAGTTAACTGACATGCTCCAGACTTCAATTAAACTGATATATATCTATATTTATTTATTAAATAATTAATTGCACATAAATTTACACTTTACAAGTACAGTTTTGCACACATGCGAATAGAACAGAAGAATTTGAATTGTCCATCATCATTTAGATGTACCCCGTCTTTATCAAAGTATTTAGTCTTCTGCCACATGCTTTGGTGTCTCCAATACTTGACATCACTCATCTTTATGTTGCTTAGTTCTTTATTTATCTTCTTTTTTTTCTATCATAAGTTGTTTCTTTCATGTTTCTTGTTTTTAGTCTGACGATGTTGGAGCCTATAACTACAGAAGGAACACCTAAGCGCTTGACATCTTTTGCGAGTTGTACAATCTCTGATGCTGTGTGTGATGCAGATAATTTATCACAGATGTCATTCTCTCCAATCTGTATGAAAACAAGCAGACTTTGAACGTGGCCTGTGGAATGCTCTACACAGTCTGTTTCCAGGAGTCCCCGTCCAAGGTTGTGCATTTCACTGGAGTCAAGCCATCTTCCGTAAAATCCAAAAGACAGGCTTGGTAGTTTCATACAATTCCAAGGGCAACACTTTTAAATTTTTACGTAAGTTGATGGCCTTACCATTCCTACCAGTGGAGCATATCAGTACTGCCTTCAACAAGCTAACGCCGGTCCCCAGCCCGGGTAAAAAAGGAGGAGGGTTATGCAATTGCATGTAAAAGTGAAAAAAAAGGAGAAAATAATTATTTTTTTCAGGTCGTGTGCCATTAATCTACTTAATCACTTTACACCTACTGTAATTACTTTTTATTACCTGTCATTAGTTGTCATAAAACCATTAAAGCTGTCACCGAGTGTAATTACCAATTAGCCAATTAGCCAATAATTAAAAAGATTTCAGAAAATTTTAAATTAAAAATATTACAATATTGTTATTATTAGATGAACAATTTGATTATTTTTAAATAATAACTTTAACTTTTTTATTTAAACTAATTAATTTAAACTAACACTTTTGAACCATATTTAATCACAAAAGTTACGAAACGTCTCAGTTACAAAACAACGTGGTTACAAATCGACCAGGTACGAAACGACCAGGTTACGAAACGACGTGCATTCTCTGTCAACTTATAAGGAATCCATGACAAATCGCCCCACTTTTTCACCAACTCGCCCCACTTCCTAAAAAATTGCCCCACTCTTGTTTACCAACTCGCCCCACTTATGAAAAGGGTAAAATCCCATTGAAAATAGGTTGGATAACTTGCCCCACTTATGAAAAGGGTTAAAATCCCGCTGAAATAAGGTCTGCCAACTCGCCCCACTCATGACAAATAGATAAACCACGATGAATTTAATAATGCCAACTCGCCCTACTTATGGAAAAAGATGCTATCCCGTTGTATATGTTCCTGCCACTTATAAATAAAATCAATACCTATGAAAACCTTGGATAAACATCTTTTGTAATTCTTTTCTTTTTGTTTAAATAAAGCAGTAAGAAGTGAGTATCAGTATTTCGGTGACGTGAATGTCAACTCGCCCCACTTGTGAAAAATAGAAAAATCCTGATGAATTGAGTTAAGTCAACTTGTCCCACTTATGAATAAAATGCTCCGCTGGGGCGCAGCTTGATACGACCGCAGAGGTCGAACCCTGAACAGTTGGGGCAAGTATGGACACAACATTCAAGCTTAATACAGCACTGAATTTGGATTGTAATTAAATATTTGACACAGCATAGGTTTCTGACACAGAATGAAAGTGGACTAAGAACTTAAAAATTTTCAATTTACCTATTCATACATGTGATGGACTGTGAAACTCAGATCAGGAGATTGGGAAATTTTGGTCAGGAGATTAGGACTCAGATCAGGAGGTTTTTAATCGACATTAATTTTGTTGTAAATGTAACCGTGTGCTGTAAAAATGGTCTTTTAAAGTGTGTTTTCTTCAACTTTCCAACCAATTTATTATGTTTATAGTACCCTTGTACTTATAAAGTTTCTCCATATTTATATTCTACATGTTCAATCTAACATTGTTTTTTTCCAGTATGTTCTTTAAATTTTTTACTTCATATTCTATAAAACAATCATTGCAACCAGAACATTTGTTTAGCTGTCTGCAAATAGTTTTTAATTTTTTTTTTTTCTCTTGCAAATAGTTTTTATTTGCAAACTCAGAAATTCATTCTATCTGTAAAGTTAGGGTCATAGTTATTATATAAATTTCAATTTAAGCCTTAAAAGGAAGTATAGAATCCTCAAATAATTTTCAAATTATTATTTTTTTATTTGTCCTAAGACATTTAAAATCATTTGATAACCATCCTTTTATGATTATTTGTTCAATTTATATTTTATTTATATTCTTTTAAAAATTTTCATTATTAAAAGGAAAGTAACTTAAAACAGGATAAATCAAGGGAAGTAACCCAATAAATACACAGTTTTTGTTACACAACGGCAGTTAGCCTGAGGTAAAAATCGTTGCTTACCAGTATGTTTGACACCCAAGCTGACAAGTGAAGCCATATAATTATGCATGTTAATTGATTTACAGGTAAAATATAACTTCAGGTAATATCAGTTACACCAGATGCCTGAGATGTTATGTTGGGCAGAAATTTTTCATTCATGAAAAATTTCATACACGGGATTTTTTCAACGGGAGGTCGGGAGGAGACCCCTGAAAAAGGGGATTATTGTACTCCCGTCGGGAGGTTCACATGTATGCCTATTCAAACCATATCATTATTATTTGCTTTTATATATAAATCAGAAATAACCAATTTAAAATGGAAAATGTTAAAGAAAAAAAAGGAAAAAAAAAATCCCCCCCCCCCCCAATTTTTTGAACCCCCTTATGATTCATCGCCCCCAAACTCAATCCCAGCTTTCCCTTTGTGGTATGGTACCTTGCAGTACAATTTCAGAGAGATTCATACACTTGAACACAAGTTATTGTCTGGAAACTAGAAAAATGCTTGTTTTTTGGCCCCTTTTTGGCCCCAAATTCCTAAACGTTTAGGGCAATTACCCCCAAACTCAATTCCAGCTTTCCCTTTGTGATATGGAACCTTGCAGTACAATTTCATAAAGATCCATACACTTACACACAAGTTATTGTCCTGAAACTAGAAAAATGCATGTTTTTTTTGCCCTTTTATGGCCCCTAATTACTAAAATTTTGAGGGAAAACCCCCAAAATCAATCCCAGCCTTCCCTTTGTGATATGGAACCTTGTAGTACAATTTCATAAAGATCCATACACTTACAAACAAGTTATTGTCATGAAACTAGAAAAATGCTTGTTTTTTGCCCCTTTTTGGCCCCTAATTCCTAATATTTGGAGGAAATTACCCCAAAAATCAATCCCAGTATTCCCTTTGTGATATGGAACCTTGTAGTACAATTTCATAAAGATCCATACACTTACAAACAAGTTATTGTCATGAAACTAGAAAAATGCTTGTTTTTTGCCCCTTTTTGGCCCCTAATTCCTAAAATTTGGAGACAATTACCCCCAAAATCAATCCCAGCATTCCCTTTGTGATATGGAACCTTGTGGTACAATGTCAGAGAGATCCATACACTTACACACAAGTTATGTCTGGAAGTTACAAAAATGGTTATTTTTGGCCCCTTTTGGCCCCTAATTCCTTAACTGTTAGTACCATAACCCCCAAAATCAATCCCCACCTTCCTTTTGTGGTATTGAACCTTATGGTAAAATTTCAATGAGATCCATTCACTCAAACTAAAGTTAGAGTGCGAAAACTAATGTGTATTTGGACGACGACGCCGGACGACGACGACGACGACGCCAACGTCATACCAATATACGACCACAAAAATTTTTTTTGCGGTCGTATAAAAATAGGAAAATCCTAATATTGAGTCATGTCAACAAATGAGTGTAGGCCTTCCAATTCGCCCCACTTATGAAAACGTTAGAAATGCATCTTTTTTTTTGTTCTTTTCTTTTGGTTGAAATAAAACAGAAAGAAAGTAGCATCAGCATTTATGTGATGTTTTTTTCCTGGTAAATATATTCAATGTTTTATAAGATAAGTCAAGAATCATGTGTGTTTACATAATTTTATTCTCAGATGATAGGTCTGCACATCTACGTAAGTATGCATAACAATAACATTTTAAACAAACATACATTAAATCAATTATGACAAGCACTGGCATGATAACATAAAAAAGAAGTACTAGATGAAATGTCAGCACTAAAAACAAGCACATGAATACATGAATACATTGTCATTAGAAAGTTCAATAGCTGTCTGCTTCCACGACTGGACCGTTGACACGACCACACTGGCGTAAGAGTCTGGTTGTAGATATGCTGCCTGCAACTTGATATACTGCTCCCACATGTTGAATAGGATGGCTTGGTTAGTGCGGGCTTGCTTGCACTGGTATTCTGTGTAGATTAGTTTTCATTAAGTGGGGCGAGTTGGCAGACATGAAAATTATATATTCATCTAGATATTACCGTTTTTCATTAAGTGGGGCGAGTTGACAGGAGTAATATTAACGGGATTTAACCCTTTTTACAAGTGGGGCGATATTTTAAAAAGTGGGGCGAGTTAGTAAACCAGTTTGGGGCGATTTTTTTAAAAGTGGGGCGAGTTGGTGAAAAAGTGTGGCGATTTGCCAGTGGGGCGATTTGTCCTGCTTCCACTTATAAGTTAAAAAAAGCTAGGATTTATGTAAAGAATTACCAGGAACGAAAATAGTGAAAAATTAACTGGCAGGACAGAGATTTCAATTAAAAAAAAAATTCAGGATAACATTCTTATCCTAGCCCCCACCCCATAAAAATCAAGTGGTGGCTTCCTTACCAACTCGCCCCGCTTTTAAAAAAAATTGCCCCACTTATGAAAAGGGTTAAATCCGTAAAATATACTCCTGTCAACAATGGCAACTCGCCTAACTTGGGTAAAATCCAAATGAATATAGAATATAAAAAAAATAAAGGTCTGCCAACTCGCCCGTATTTACTTATCTACCCAGAAATTAGAAGACACTGATACAAAAAAATCGAAATTTAATATATGATATTTATTGATTTAAAATGATGTTTCACTTCTTAAAATATGATTGTAGATTCATTATTTATTATTAAATTATTATGTAATTTATGTATTAATTTATTGTATCATAATCTATTTGATTCTTTTTTTTAGCTGACTCAAAATCATGCATGATGATGCTGTTTGGGCCCCCTGGTTGTACATAGGAAGTGGACTCCTCGAGAAGATGAAAGGTCTGCTTTACATGTATGTAATGTAAATATAAAAATAAGAAAATGTGGTGATTGCCAATGAGAAAAAATAGAGGAATTTTTAAAAGTGTAAATTCACTTGTTTTTCAATCCTAATAAATCTGTCATATTGTAATGATAATAATGTTTAAATTACGTAATTATTTTCAAAATAAAATATTGTTTACACCAATGAGAAAAGACAACTCTCCACCAGAAATCAAATGACATTGAAGTTAACAACAATAGGTCACTGTACATCCTTCAACAATGAGCAAAGCCAATACCGCATAGTCAGGTTTTAAAGACCCTATATGAGAATCACAAATTTGTAAATCAATTCAAACCAGAAAACTAACAGACTAATTTATACAATGTAATAAATAAAAAACAGAACCAAAAAAACAAAATATTATAAACAGCAACAAACGACAAACTGAACCACTGAATAACACTAACAGGCTTCTGACATGAGACAGACGCATTCAAAAGGTTGTGGTGGGGCTAGACTAGTAGTTTGTGGTGCTAAACCAACCACCTTAGCTGGGATATTGGTGTGAAAAGGGCTTTTAAAGCAGATTTATACATCCCCAAAACTAAAAAGACTAAGTATAGATTTGAGAGTACTCCCAATTGCTAACAGCTAGTTCAAAGCCAATAACAACTTTCAAGGTACATGTATTTACCACAAAACCTTGTCTCGTTTAGTCCATTTCTCAGATATTACCTTATATCAAATACTAGTTCAACTTTTGGTATAATTTAAACATTTTTGAATGACTTCAAATTTCAAAAAGTATCATGATTATTAAAATAACTTGATGGTAAGTTGATGCCCAAAGATTGGCATTATAAATCATGACAGATTCAGAGATCCAATTATACATGTATATAACCGCTTTTGTTCATCCCTTCATTCAAGGGTCATATGGATTTTATATGATGGATTAGATCATTAGAACATTAAAATGATTAAATACTTTGATTTTTTAGTCATTTTTATACGCCTGTCAAAATTTTTACGGGACATATTATGGTATACAAATGTCCGGATTCCGGCCGTCTGTCTGTCTGTCTGTCTCTCTGGCGTCCACATGTCGCACTGTAACTTGAGAACCACTTATCCAAATTTAATGAAACTTAACATAGTTGTTTCTTATGATGGTCAAACTATCTGCATACTTTTTGGTGAAAATAAGATTTAAACTTTCGTAGTTACAAGACTTTATAGCTAAAACAGGGGTGTGTTTTTTTCACATGTCGCGCCGTATCTCAAAAAACATGTATTATTATTACTTAAAACTTTACACACTACTTATTTATATTAATCTTAAGATCTGTATACTTTTTGGTGATGATTCAAAATTTTATTTTAGAGTTATTGAGTTTTTTGTAAAAAAGGGGGGTTTTCACATGTCGCGCCGTATCTCAGAAACTATTTATGATTATTGCATAAAACTTCACACACAAGACGACGGGTGTATCATGCGCTCGTGGCACAGCTGTTTATTAGCTTTTCTCATCACAAGGCGTCTGTCGTCGTTGTCCGTCGCTGTTAACTTTTACAAAAATCTTCTCTTCTGAAACTAGGGAGTCAAATTGAACCAAACTTGGCCACAAACATCATTAGGATATTTAGTTAGAAATATGTGTCAGATGACCTCTCCTGCTAACTAACATGCCAACATGGCTAAAAATAGGACATAGGGGTAAAATGCAGTTTTTGGCTTATACATGTGTAGGACTCGGAGGTGCGATGGGGATGCTGAAGTGCGATGGTCCACGCCGAAGTGCGATGGTCCACGTCGAAGTGCGATGGTCCTTTCGATGAAGTGCGATGATTTTGCATGACGTTTGATATTGTGACGTTTTCAAATACAACGTTATGAAACAAATGGATTCACAGGCAGGAGAATAAGATTTGTAGATGAAGGTTTCGTACGTACGAAGGAAAGGAAACAGAATGAAACGAACGATTTAAGTCCCAAACAGTTTTGAGCATGTCTTGGTCTTATATAAAATTTGACTTCTCCTCAAGTTAACATCACATGATTTTGTGTGGACAACTTTTAAAATAATAAATTAATATTAGCAATGTTTTCGTTATATCAAGTAGCGATAATTTTGTTTTATTCTCGAAATGAGTCCGGCATGCTTTGTAAGAAAACGGGCAATCTTGGTTATTTTATTTTGTTTAAAGTATTAATATTCTGCTATGGGTTAGGCCAAAAGAAACCCAAATGGTGCCAACTTGTTGTAATTCTCAGTTTCTGCTGCTTAGCGAAAAATCAGCTAATTCTCAAGCTAATGACAGAACAAGCGTCATGTCTCACTATATGTCAAGCATAAATGTAATCGGTAGTTTTTATTTCTTAAAAACTGTTATGATTTATTAAATAAATAGATGCATGAGTGTTGTGAGAAATTTCGTAGCTACTGACATGACAAGAACAAGTTACTAGTATATTTGATAAAATTAAATGTATCCTGCTTAGTTAGTACTACAAAGAGCGCTGTGCTATACCCGTTTTTTTTATTTTATCGCACTTGAATGCTCATTTTAAAAACAATGTCCCCCAACTTGAATCCATTATACTTAATCTGAGCCATCCAGTCTATTTTCTGCCTCATACTGTTGTATACTAAGCAAAACATTAGCAAATTAAAAATTAAAGTCTTTATTTTGACCTGACCAGAAAACCCAGTCTTCCAAACGCGAGGCTAGCACATTAACCACTACACCGCCACATTTAAAAATGGGATTTCAACTTCAGACCATTGCATTTAGCTAGTATACACGTCACAGTTAGACCATCGCACTTCAGCGTATCCACCAAACGCACTTCAGCATATCTAACAACAAGTTAGTGTCACAATGGACCATTGCACTTCAGCGTGTTAACCAACGCACATCAGCATGGACCATCGCACTTCGGCGTGACCATCGCAGTTCGGAGTACCATCGCGGTTCCGAGTCCTACACATGTATCTCTGAGACTAAAGCATTCAGAGCAAATCTGACGTGGGGTTAAAACGTTCACCAGGTTAAGTTCTATCTGCTATGAAATTTTTAGACAAATCAGACAACCTGTTGTTGGGTTGCTGCCCCTGAATTGGTAATTTTAGGGAAATTTTGCAGTTTTTGGTAATTATCTTGAATATTATTAGAGATAGAGATAAACTGTAAACAGAAATAATGTTCAGCAAAGTAAGACCTACAAATAAGTCGACAGGACCAAAATTGTCAATTGACCTTTTAAGGAGTTATTGCCCTTTATAGTCAATTTTATTAACCATTTTTCGTAAATTTTTGTAATCTTTTACTAAAATCTTCTCTAAAACTGCTCGGCCAAATTTAACCAAACTTGGCCACAATCATTATTGGGGTATCTAATACTATTTATTATGATTTAAACGTTATTTTACATGATTTCCAAAACCACAGTGGATACTGGTGAGTGACTGAGGCTCTTGGAAGCCTCTATTTTTTCAGGGTTGTTTGTTGGTCTAGTTTTAAAAGATCAAACTAAGCCAATTTTGCCGGATCAAATATTAAAGGCAATTTTGGCAGATATTATAACTTCATTTCATTAACCATTATTTCT